ACTCCAATCCTTCACAAACTATTCAGAACAATCAAAAAAGAGGGAATCCTCCCAAATTCTTTCTAGGAAGCCAGCATCACCTTAATTCCTAAGCCGGAAAATGATGCAGCATTGAAAGAAAATTACAGACCAATATCTCTGATGAACATAGACGCAAAAATCCTCAATAAAATTCTGGCCAATAGAATGCAACAACACATCAGAAAGATCATCCACCCAGACCAAGTGGGATTTATCCCTGGTATGCAGGGATGGTTCAATGTCCACAAAACAATCAATGTGATATACCACATTAACAGACTGCAGAAGAAAAACCATATGATTATCTCAATAGATGCAGAGAAAGCATTTGATAAAATACAGCACCATTTCATGATGCAAACTCTAAGCAAACCGGGTATAGAAGGAACATTCATCAATACAATCAAAGCAATTTACAAAAAAACCCACAGCCAGCATCCTATTGAATGGGGAAAAGTTGGAAGCACTTCAACTGAGATCTGGTACCAGACAGGGATGCCCACTCTCACCACTGCTATTCAATATAGTTCTGGAAGTTCTAGGCAGAGCTATTGGGCAAGAAAAAGAAATTAAGGGGATACAAATTGGGACGGAAGATATCAAACTATCCCTCTTTGCAGATGATATGATTCTTCATTTAGGGGATCCAAAGAACTCTACTAAGAGACTATTGGTTCGCATAGAAGAGTTTGGCAAAGTAGCAGGATATAAAATCAATGCACAAAAATCAACAGCCTTTGTATGAACAGGCAATGCCACAGCTGAGAAAGAACTGCTAAGATCAATCCCATTCACAATAGCCACAAAAACAATCAAATACCTTAGAATAAACTTAACCAAGGATGTTAAAGATCTCTACGATGAAAATTACAAAACCTTAAAGAAAGAAATAGAAGAGGATACCAAGAAATGGAAAAATCTTCCATGCCCATGGATGCGAAGCATCAATATCATCAAAATGTCCATTCTCCCCAAAGCAATTTATAAATTCAATGCAATACCAATCAAAATACCACTGACATTCTTCTCAGATCTGGAAAAAAATGGTGCTGAAATTCATATGAAGACACAGAAGACCTTGAATAGCTAAAGGAATCTTGTACAACAAAAACGAAGTCGGAAGGAACACAATAACAGATTTCAGGACATACCACAGGGCAGTTGTTATCAAAACAGCATGGTACAAGGACAGAAATCAATGGATAGACCAACGGAACAGAGCAGAAACACCAGAAATCAACCCAAACATCTACAGCCAACTTATATTTGATCAAGGATCCAAAACCAATCCCTGGAGTAAGGACAGTCTATTCAATAGATGGTGCTGGGAAAATTGGATTTCCACATGCAGAATCATGAAGCAAGACCCCTACCTTTCACCTTATACAAAAATTCAATCAACATGGATTAAAGAATTAAATCTATGACCCGACACCATCAAATTCTTAGAGAACATTGGAGAAACCCTGCAAGATATAAGTACCAGCAAAGACTTCTTGGAAAAGACCCCGGAAGCACAGGCAGTCAAAGCCAAAATCAACTATTGTGATTGCATCAAATTGAGAAGTTTCTGTACAGCAAAAGAAACAGTAAGGAAAGTGAAGAGGCAATGGACAGAATGGGAAAATATTTGCAAAGTATGCAACAGATAAAGGTTTGATAACCAGAATCTACAAAGAGATCAAGAAACTCCACAACATCAAAACAAACAACCCACTTAAGAGATGGGCCAAGGACCTCAATAGACATTTTTCAAAAGAGGAAATCCAAATGGCCAACAGACACATGAAAAAATGTTCAAGATCACAAGGAGTTTCAAATCACCACAGTTAGAATGGCTCACATTCAGAAATCTACCAACAACAGATGCTGGTGAGGATGTGGGGAAAAGGGACACTAACCCACTGTTGGTGGGAATGTAGACTGGTAAAGCCACTATGGAAGTCAGTCCGGAGATTCAACAGAAACCTGAACATAACCGTACCATTCAACCCAGCCATCCCACTCCTTGGAATTTACCCAAAGGAAATGAAATTGGCAAACAAAAAAGCTGTCTGCACATTAATGGTTACTGCAGCTCAATTCACAATAGCTAAGGTCTGGAATCACCCAAATGCCCATCAACAGTAAACTGGATAAAGAAATTATGGGAAATGCACTCTATAGAATACTATACAGCAGTCAAAAAATAATGAAATCAGGTCATTTGCAACAAAATGGAGGAATCTGGAAAACACCATGCTGAGTGAATTAATCCAGTCCCAAAGGGACAAATATCATATGTTCTCCCTGATCAGTGACAACTGAGCACCAAAGGGGAAACTTGTTGAAGTGAAATGGACACTATGAGAAACAGTGACTTGATCAGCCCTTGTCATCACTATTGATGTACAATTTAATACTTTATCCCTTTTAGTACTTTTTGTTCTAGTACTATTGGGTTGAACTCTGTAATTAACACACAATTATTCTTGGGTGTTTAAATTTTAACTGAAAAGTGATCCCTGTTAAATATAAGAGTGGGAATAAGAGAGGGAGGAGATGTACATTTTGAAACATGCTCATTTGAACTTGCCCCAAATGGTGGAGTTAGAAACCTGCCAGAGGATTCCAATTCAATCCCATCAAGATTGCATGTACCAATGCCATCTCACTAGTCCAAGTGATCAATGTCAGTTCACAACTGATCACACTATAGGTCCAAGAATCACAGGGATCACAAAAACAAGATTAGTGTCTGCTAATACTAACTGACAGAATCAAAAAGGGAGAGAACGATCCAACATGGGAAGCGGGATACACAGCAGACTCATAAAATGGCAGATGTCCTAAATGGCATTCTGGTGTCAGAATCAGCCTTTAAGGCAGTCAGATCTGGCTGAAGACCCCATGAGAGTATTTTAGGCATGGAAAGCCAAGACACTCTGGGGAAAGAAAAAAAAAGAAGACCTAAGTGGAAGATCTCTGCGACTGAGATCCCAGTGGAAGGAACGGGGCCATCAAAGAAGGAGGTACCTTTCTCTGAAGGGAGGAGAGAACTTGCACTTTGACTATGACCCTGTCGGAATAAGATCGAAGTTGGCGAACTCAAACGGCTTCCATAGCCTTGGCAACTCATGACTAGAGCCTAGGCAGATTACTGATGCCATAAACAAGAGTGCCAAATTGTTAAGTCAACAACAGGATTCACTGTGTCCTTACTCCTCATGTGGGATCTGTCCTTAAGGTGTTGTCCTATGTGAAGTAATGCTATAACTAGTACTGAAACAGTATTTTACACTTTGTGTTTCTGTGCAGGTGCAAACTGATGAAATATTTACTCAATATATACTAAATTGATCTTCTGTATATAAAGATAATTGAAAATGAATCTTGATGTGAATGGAATGGGAGAGGGAGCTGGAGATGGAGAGGTGCGAGTGGGAGGGAAGTTATGGGGGGGGAAGCCATTGCAATGCATAAATTGTACTTTGGAAATTTATATTTACTAAATAAAAGTTAAAAAAATAGAAAGAAAGAAAAGAATATATTTGCAACTTAAAAAAAAGCAGCAATAAAACCACCAATCAGGTTATGAAATGGCCAAAGGAACGCAACAGACAGTTCCCCATAGATACACAGATGGCCAACAAATATAGGAAAAAAATGCTCAACAGCACAAGCTATCAGGGAAATGCAAGTCCAAACCATAATGAGATATCAGCTCACACGTATATACTGGCTAAAATCAAAAGGAAAGAGAGTCACAATGAGGAGGAGGATGTGGGAAAAGGGGAACACTTACACACTGGTGGTAAAAATTTAAATTAGTGCAACTACTGTGGAAAACGATATAAAGATTTCTTAAGAAAATAAAAACAGACTTGTCATATGATGGAACAATTCCTCTACTGATATAACCCAAAATACATGAACGTATTGTATCAGAGATACGTTCACCACAATATTGCAGTATGCTTCATGGGAAAACAAGAAATTGTCAAGGACTTCAAACATCATCAGTTGAATGGATAAGAATAATTCTCTATCTCTCTCTCTGTACACAGACACAGACACACACACACACACAATGAAACAAACTTACAAATCCCTCTTTCCACAGACTTTTTCATGGACCCTCATGATGCTCTCTGCAGTACCTTAAATAACTAGAGCAAATGTGGGCACATAGCAGACACTCCTTCGAAAGCCAAGAAAAATATATTTACCAAGAGAAACTCCTCTGCCCATATTCTGACTTCCACAAGCCACAAACTTCATTCATAGGCTAAAACAGGTTCTCCCTGTTCCCAAGACACCTATCAACCCAGTTTTCTTTCAGATAACATCTTCTCCATCTCTTGGTAGTCTGCACTCTTTTGTCAAATTTCCTGATTAACTCAGCACCCATTCCCCAGTCCCTCCTGAAAGTTCCCTCTGCCTGCCTCCTGATATCCCTTCCCTCACTTTTCGTAAGGTTTCTCCCCAGGGCTTGTCCTGGATCTCACACTCTGATACTCCACTAGTTCTTACAAGCAGACCTATTACAGCTCCTCCCTATTACAACTCTTCTCAAAGTTGCCTGCCTTCCTCCCCACAATCCTTCCATTTTCCTTTTCTATCATAGGATGGCGACATACAGACACAAACTGTTTTCAGCTCCCAAAACCTTGCACGCCCCAGGTTCTTCCATGGCATCTAACCCTCCACTCCCACTGCATGAAGTACTTGCAATCCCATCGTCCTTAGCCTGAAAATCTAAAACCCAAACAACTATTACCACATCTCTCCAAACCCGACTCTAATGTTTTTACTCTGATTAAACATTTGACAGTTATCCTCCCAGATTCCCCTCCCACTGCCTGGACTACCATTCTTCCCTTCTTAGCATGTTCTTTGCCCCTCAATTCTCGGCAAAGCCCCAGGGAAATCATTCCCCAATATCTTATTCAACTCTGTCTCTGTGGTTCCTCTATTATAGGAACGCTAGGTCCCCACATTTCGGTCTCCACATGTATACAGGGCTCCCACCACTTGACCTTCCTTCACAAAGGTTGGAAGTCCACTTTGCTGTCAGCCTGGCAGCCCAACCCCAGGGCACAGGGTTCCCTTCCCTTCCCTTCCCTTCTCTCCTCCTTGGGCCCAAGGGCTGCCATCAACAGGACACAGCCACATGTACTACTAACCAGCTGCTCCTGTCCAGGGTGAAGGCACAGCTGGGTTTTACCAGGAAGCAAAGCAGTCCCCAGAAATGGAAGATTACCCAGCAGCTGAACTTCCGTGTGAACTCGGTGTCCAATTTCATATCCATGAAAATGTCTACAAATAAAGTTACAAAACATTAAGAAATGGAAGACGACACACAAAAATGGAAAAATCTTCCACGCTGACTCATTGGCAAAATCAACATAATGCAAATATCCATTCTACCATAAGCAATTTACAGACACAATGGGATTCTTAGCAAAGTTCTAATAGCATTTTGCCCAGATGGAGAGAAAACAATGCTAAAATTCATATGAAAACACAGAACATCTGAATAGAGAAGGCAACCTTATACAACATTGACAAAACTTGAAGCATCACAATAACAGATTGCAAGACACAGCACAGGACAGTTACAATCAAAACAACTTGCTAGAGGTAAAAAAAAAATGACAACAATGGAACAGAAAAGAATGGAACAGAAAATATAACAATGGAACAGAAAAGAAACACCTGAAATGACGCACACATCTACAACTACTCTATCTTTCAAGAAGGAGCTAAAGATCAATCCCAGGTTCAAAGGACCATTTCTTTATAAAAAGGTCCTGAGAAAACTGGACCTCCACATGCAGAAGTATGAAAGAAGACCCATACTTTACACCTTATACAAAAAGCAAGTAAAACACATCAAGGAACAAAATCTAAAACTCAATATCATCAAATTATTAGAGAACATTGGGGAATACTGGAAAACATTGGCTTAGGGAAAGATTTCTGGGAAAAAATGCCAGTAGCACAATAAACGCTGAAACAAACAAATGTGATTCCATCAAGCTGAGAAGCTTCTGCACTACAAAAGGAACACTCAGAAAAGTAAAGAGGCAACCAAAAGGACGGGAGAAACTATTTGCTAACTATGAAACTGATAAAAGATTAATATCCAGGCCAGTGCCGCTGCTCAATAGGGTAATCCTCCACCTGCAGCACTAGCACTCTGGGTTCTAGTCCCGGTCAGGGTGCCAAATTCTGTCCCTGTTGCTCCTCTTCCAGTTCAGCCCTCTGCTGTGGCCAGGAGTGCAACGGAGGATGGCCCAAGTCCTTGAGCCCTGCACCCGCATGGGAGACCAGGAGAAGCACCTGGCTGCTGGCTTCAGAGTAGCATGGTGTGCCCGCCGCAGCAGCCAATTGGGGGTGAACCAATGGAAAAAGGAAGACCTTTCTCTCTGTTTCCCTTTCTCTCACTGTCTAACTCTGCCTGTCAAAAAATAAAGATTAATATCCAGCATCTAAAAAGAGCAAAGTCAAGAGGCAACCAAATGAATAAGAAAATAATCTGCCAACTATAAAACTTATAAAAGATTAACATCCACAATCTACAAAGAGTTCAAGGAACTCAACAACAACAAAACAAAAATTCCATTTAAAAATTGGCAAAGGACTTGAACAGGCATGTTTCAAGAGAGGAACTTCATATGGCCAACAGACACATGAAAAAAGGCTCAGGATCCCTAGCCATCAGGTTTCACCACACCACAGTCAGAATGCTCTCATACTAAAATCAACAAACGATAAATGCTGCTGAGGATCTGGCACTATGCTACCCTAATACACTGTTGGTAGAAATGTAACCTGGGGAAGTCACTGCCTAAGACAGTATGGAGATACCTCAGAAAGCTGAAAATAAATCTTCCATATGACTCAGCAATCCTTCTCCTGGTGATTTACTCCTAGGAAATGAAATCAGCAGATTTGAAAGGGTTATCTGTACCTCCAGGTTTACTGCAGCTCAGTTCACAATAGCTGAGATACGGAATCAAACCTGATGTCCATGAACTGATGACAGGAAGTGGAGAGTCTCCAGAAGAGCAAGATTGCCTGGCAGCTGAGGGTCAGTGTCCACTCTGCGTTAGTTTCACATCAGAGTCCTTCTTAGGGGGGAGGCGAGGCAGACAGCTGCATCATGGCTTCTTCACACCTGAGCCCCTGCCCACCCCCGTTGCCTCTGAACCAGTGGATTTGCCAGAAAAACACTGCTGGGAAGCACCAGGATCCCCCATCCTTTGAGGCAGGCCCTGGGCATCTCTCTGTTCATAAACTTAAACACAACAAGTCCATCCTGCACTCTACAAGCCTACTGAACCGCTACTGCCAATGCCAGCCAACAACGACACTGCCTTGGATATAGCCTACTTCTCCCCTAGGCCTACTGTGCAAGTACCATCCAACTAACACCCATCCCTTCCTCCCAGAAACACAGCGTCAGCAGAACAGGCCGCACTGCCTTGAAGAACCAGGGGTCACGGCCTGAGCCCCAGCCTGACATGCCTTTCCTGTGCTCACCATCATCAGGAGCACTCCAAGGGCATCGTTGCTCCCAATCCAGCCCACCAGAAGCTCAGGGCAGTGTGGAGCTCTCTGCACCTCCCGGGCTAACACCCAGCCACTCCCACATGGTGCACAGCTCTGCCAAACTGCCCATGGTCAGGGCTACTGAACGGCAGGTACCTGCCCAGCATCCTTGGCCTGATCGGTAGGGCTGCTGCTTGGAGTCAGACAGCTAAGTGCACGACGTGTTGTGCCCCTGACAGGGAGGTAGGGTAGGAACTATCACTGTGTACCTAAATTGCATTTATGAAATGCATGGAATTTGGATCTCTTAAATAAAAAACATATCTTATGAGAACACCTGAACTGTCTTCTCTTGGTCTTTTCCTAGCCCCTCCCCTATGTCAAAATTGTAGGTGACTCAGTCCTTCATTGCTTTGTCCCTGGGAATAGACTGCCTTGCTAGAAGTCCTAACTCAGAACATTTCATCCCACAACTTGCAGAATACACATTCTTCTCATCAGTCTCTGGAACTTTCTCTAGGACACAACTTATGATAGGACATAAAGCAAGCCTAGAAAACTCAATAACTGAAATCAGTTCACGCATCTTCTATGATCAAAATGAAAGGAAATGGGAAATCAACAACTCAGGGAACTCCAGAACATACGCAAACACGTGGAGTCCGAGCAATATGCTCCTGAATGAATGGTTGGTCTTAGGAGAAATCAAAATGAAAATCCAGAAATTTCTGGAAATGATCAAAGATAACAGTACAACATAGCAAAATGTATGGGACACAACAAATGCAATGTTAACAGGAAACTTTATAACAACTTGTAACTACAACAAGATATTGGAAAGGAATCAAATAAATGAGCTTTTCAATGCATCACAAAATATAGAAAAACAACGTATCAAACTCCAAATTAGTAGGATGACAGAAATCATGGAAACTTGAGAAGAAATGAACAAAGCTGAAGAAAAACATTATAAAAGATCATTGAGGCCAGCGCCATGGCTCAATAGGCTAATCCTCCACTTGTGGCGCCAGCACACCGGATTCTAGTCGCGGTCGGGGTGCCAGATTCTGTCCCGGTAGCACCTCTTCCTGTCCAGCTCTTTCCTGTGGCCCGGGAGCGCAGTGTAGGATGGCCCAAGTGCTTGGGCCCTACACCTTCATGGGTTATCTGGAGGAAGCACCTGGCTCCTGGCTTCAGATCAGCGCAGTGTACCAGTCATAGCAGACATTTGGAGAGTGAACCAATGAAAAGAAAGACTTTCTGTCTCTCTCTCACTGTCTAAATGTGCCTGTCCAAAAAAAAAGATCACTGATATGAAAATCTGGTTAAAAAATATTTTTTAGAAAATTGCTGAAAATCTCCAAAACAACAACAACAGGAATAAGACCCCAATCTGTAAAACCAGAAATGAAAAACAATCTGTAATAATAGAAACCCAATAAATAAAAACAACCATCTGGAATTGCTACAATGTACTGTTTGCCAATGAATTGGACATTCTTGGGAAATCTCTCTCCCTCACTTCATAACTCTGCCTTTCAATTAAATAAATATTTAAAAAACATAATTATTTCAATAGATGAAAACAGCTGGAAAATATGCAAAAACCTTTCAGAAAGAAAACCTCAGGGAAACTGACGACAGAAAGAACATTCCTCTACACAATCAAGGCAATTTATGTCAAACCGACTGATAGCATCTTATGAATGGGGACAAGTTGGAAGCATTCCCAACTATGATCTGGATCAGACAAGGATGCACTCTCATTACTGCTATTCAATATAGTTCTGGAAGTTTTAGAGCCATTAGGCAAGAAAAAGAAATCAAATGGATACAAATTGGGAAGGAGGAAGTCAAACTATCCCTCTTTCAAAAGGACATGATTTTATAAATGGGGGAACCCAGAGACTCCACCACGAGACCATTAGAACTCATAACAGAGTTTGGAAAAGTGGCAGGATAGAAAATTAACACACAAAAATCAATAGAATTTGTATAAACACAATATCAGGGCTGAGAAACAACTTTGAAGATCCATTCCATTCACAATAGCTACTAAAATTTAAATACCTTTGAATAAAGGTAACCAAGGAGCTTGAAGATTTAAAAAGCAACTCCAATACTTTTCCAACTATTTCAAATAATAAACTGGAAGGAGTAGGATTCAACTCTAACAAACACTTTTTGAGAGGCCGGCATTACTTTAACCACAAAAGATAACAAAACATGAAATACAAAGAAAACTGAAGGGCCTATATACATAATGAAAAAGATGCAAAGATTCTTAACAAAATTCTAGCCTAACAAAACCAAAACCACATGCTGAAGCTCACACAAAACCTTCAATTGGAATTTATATCAGAAATGCCATGATGTTCCACATTCGCAAATTAATACACATGATGAATTTTATCAAAATAATGGAAGAATAAAACCACATTGTCTGGGCTGGTGCTGTGTTACAGTGGGTTAAAACCACAACACACAATGCCGGGATCTCTTATGGGTGCTATTTAGCATCCAGGCTGCTCCACTTTCAATCCTGCTCCCTCCTAACATGCCTGGGAAAATGTCACAGGATGTCCCAATTAGTTGGGGCCATGCAGCCACATGGGAGACTTGGAACAAGGGTCTGGATCCTGATGGCTCAGTTTGGCCATCAAGGTCTTTTGGGGAATGAACTAGCAAACAGAAGACCTCTCTCCCTCCCTCCCTCTCTTTTGCTCTTGCTCTACCTCTATCTCTCTGTATAAATCTTGCAAACAAATGAAATAAATCTTTTGAAAACCACATCTTCTAATTACATACAGATATCAGAAGAATAAAAAATGATTAAAAAACTACACAAAATATACACAAAAGGAATACATATCACAATCATAAAGGCTATGTATGACAAACCAACCACCAATGTCATGCTGGATGGGGAGAATGTGAAATCATTTTGTCAAACATATAACAACACAAGGATGCCTCTTTTACCACTCTTACCAAATGCAGTCTCCAAATGGGAGACCTGGAAGAAGCTCCTGACTCCTAGCTTTGGATCAGCCCAGCAATGGGCCCTGTGGCCATTTCAGGAGCAAACCAGCAGATGGAAGACCTCTATCTCTGTGTTTCCCTATCTCTGCATCTCTGCCACTTAAGAATATATATTTTTTTTGAAAAAAGATCACTACACAGCTCACGTGGAACTTGCCCACCCTACCTTTAACTGATGAAGAATTAAGAGTGGGAACAAGAGAAGGAGGAAGAAGAAGGATGGGAGTGTAGGCTTGAGAGATGGTAGCATGGGAAGAGGTATCAGTATGTTTTGAATTTGCATATAGGAAATACATGAAATTTGCATACCTGATATAAAATTTTAAAAAGCAGATAATCTTCTAACCAGACTAACAAAAATGATAAAAACTCCAGTAAATAAAATTACAGAAAAAAAGCAGAGATTATAATCAACATCACTGAAACACAAGGTTTCAGAGAAATTGCTATTCAGTACTATATGCTAATAAACTGGAAAACTAGAAGAAATGGAGAAATCCCTGGATAACAAATACATGTAATTGGTAAGATTAAATCCAGAAGATAGAGACATCCTAAAAACAATCATAAAAATCAATGAAAACTAAAACACCCACCAAAAACACTGCTAGGACTGATGAAATAAGTAAGTTAGAGGTTACAAATAAACATACCTTGTAACCCGCAGTCCTGTCCTCCAGCGCGAGCCCAGCCACCCGCTTCTCCACTTCCCACAGCTGAGCTGCCGCCCGCCCCCACGGCCACCCAGCCTGCGGACATGAGTGTCTACACTGCTCCGAGGAGCCACGACCCCCCCCCACACACACACATGAGGTCCCAGGCCTCTCATTGTTTCATAAGAAAAACTCACCTTCACTCCCACACTCTCCGGGCCAGTACCGCTGCCGAAAACGCCGCCATCAGCAAACAATTCTGGCAGCCGACGACATGCCGCCACCACCAGATAATCTCGTCTTGCTCTCCACCAGGCTGATTGCGCAAGCGCCAGCATCTAGGACCCGCCTCTTCCTCCCAGTAAGCACAGCAGCACCGGAAGTGGCCAGGCAGCGTCAAAAACATGGGTGACAGCTGTCTTGGCTCCGGGCTAGTATAGCGGGGCTGTGTTGATCTCCGGTGTGCTCCAGGTAAGAAATGTTTTCCGGTACAAAAAAAAGAAAAAAACCTGTCATTTGCAAAAAGAAAAAAAATGGATGCAACTGTAAAACCTTACACTTTGTAAAATAAGCCTTTCCAAAAAAAGACAAATACCGTATATTCTCCCTGATCTGTGATAATGTGGTAACAGAGTACCTAAAAGGTGATCTATATTAGTGATATTGATACTTTGACATACAATGATTTAGACAACTTTTGTCTTGCAGATAGAATGATTTTAAACAAACCATGTCTTGCCTCTTCAGGAACAGATTTTTTTTTAATTCTTTCAAACTGTTGAATTCTTTACTTAGTGTAGGCTTTATATTATGAGTATAAAATAATTGAAAATAGATTTTTGTATAAAATAAGAATGGCAATAGTGGATAGAGGATGAAGAGGGATGGGAGATGGGGCCGGTGCTGTGGCAAAGCAGGTTAACACCCTGGCCTGGAGCACCAGCATTAAATATGTGTGCCAGTTTGAGACCGGCTTCTTCACTTGCGATCCAGCTATCTGCTATGGCCTGGGAAAGCAGTGGAGGATGGCCCAGGTCCTTGGGCCCCTGACCCATTGGGAGACGCAGAAGAAGCTCCTGGCTCCTGGCTCAGATCAGCACAGCTCTGACCATTGTGGCCAACTGAGGAGTGAACCATCGGATGGAAGACCTCTCTCTGCCTTTCCTCTCTCTGTGTAACTCTGACTTTCAAATAAATAAATAAATAAATCTTTAAAAAATGAAGAGGGATGGGAGCATGTTCGGATGGGTGGGTAGGAGTGAGCGAGGGTAGAGTGGGAATAATTAATGTTTCTAAATTTGTATATATGAAATACATCAAGTTTGAATACTTTAAATCAAAAGTTTCTAGGTAAAAAGAGAGGTAAAATTTTTAATAATTCATGATGAGTGAGATAGCAAGAGACAATTCTCATCTACTGAGTCACTCCCCAAATGCCCTCAAGATGGGACTAAAGCTGAGAAGTGGGATCTTCATCCACGTCTCCCACATGGTTTGACAGTAACTAAGGCCTTGAGCCACCCTCCAGGATATACAATAAGGTAGGCCATAAGTCTCAGCTAATTCAAAAAATATGTAAATCATACCATGCATCTTCCACGACCACATGGAATGAAGGGGCGAATGACCACTCCAAGAACCTCAAGAACATATACAACCACATGGAGACTGAACATGCTCCTGAAGGAACTGTGAGTCATAGAAAAAATTTAAAAAAGATGAAAACAAACAAAGATGACAGTATAACATATCAAAACTTATCAGATACTGGAAAGTTTAGAGAAATTGGTGCCTATACCAAGAAATTGGAAAAGCATCAAATAAGTGAGCCACCAATGTAGCACCCTTGGAAAAAAAATGAAATCAAATGCAAAATTATCAAGAGGAAAGAGATAATTAAAATTAGAGAAGAAATAAACAAAATTGAAATCAAAAAAAGAATATAAAAATGAGTGAAATGAAGAACTTGCTTAAAAAATTTATACACTCTTGGCCCAAATATCTTTAAAAAAAAGAAGACCCCAATCAGTAAAGTCAGAGATGAAAAATGAAAGGGAACAACAGATACTACAGATGATTAAAAGATTTACCCATCAGGAGCTAATACAAAGGACTGTATGCCAACCAATTAAAAAGTCTGTCTCTCCTACTCTGCCTATAATTCTGCCTCACAAATAAATAAATAAAACTTTCAAATAAACCATAGGCTTATTTCAATAGATGCAGAGAAAGCATTTGATGAAATACAACATCCTTTCATAATGAAAACCTTAAGGAAACTGAGTATAGTAAGAACATTGCTCAACATAATCAAGGCAATTTATGACAAACCTATAGACAGCAGCTTATGAATGGGGAAATGTTGGAAGCATTCCCGTGAAGAGCTGGAATCAGACAAGGATGACAACTTGTGCCCTTGCTATTCAATATAGACCTGGAAGTTTTAGCCAGACCTATTAGGCAAGAAAAAGAAATCAAAAGATACAAACTGGGAAGGAGGGAGTCAAATTACCCCTACTTGCGGGTGACAGGATTCCATATATAGGGGAAATAAAAGTCTCCACTAAGAGATACTGGAATTCATAAGACTTTGGTGAAGTGCCAGGGTATAAAATTAACACAAAAAATCAATAGTCTATGTGTAAAAAGCCATGGCTGGGAAAGAACTTCTAAGAGCAATCCCATTCACAATTGCTACAAAAAATTAAATACCATGGAATAAATTTAATCAAGAATGCCAAAGATGTCTGCTATGAAAATTAGCAAACATTAGTGAAATAAACAAAAGCCACAGAAAATAGAAAAAGCTTTAATATTCAAGGACTAAAATAATCAATATAATCAAAATGTCCATAGTACCAAAAGCAATTTACAAATTCATGTGATCCCAATTAAAATGCCAATTACATTCTTTACAGATCTAGGGGAAAAAGATGCTAAAATTCAAATGGAAACACAAGAGACCCAGAATAGCTAATGGAATCTTATATGTGAAAAACAAAGCCAGAAGCATCACAATACCAGAATTCAAGACATACTTCAGGACAGTTACAAACAAAACAGCCTGATACTGGTAAAGAATACACATGTGGACCAATGGAGCACAATAGAAACTCCAAAACTCAATCCACACATCTACAAATAATTTATCTTGGACAAAGGATCTAAAATCCAACCATGTGACAAAGTCAGTCTCTTCAAAAAATGTGCATAAAAGGTGGATCTCACATGCAGAAGTATGAAAATAAAAACCTACCTCATTCTTACAAAAAAACCAACTCAAAAAAGGATCAAAGACCTAAATGTACAACCTAATACCATCAAATTCTTAGAGAACACGGTGGAAATGATGCAAGACATTGCCAGATGCAGACTTCTTGGAACCCAGACGTACAGGCACTAAAAGCAAAAACACACTAATGGGATTACATCAAGCTGAGAAGCTTTTGTACTGTAAATGAAAACTCAGCAAACTGAAGGGCAACTGAGAGAATGAGAGAAAATATATGCAAACTATGACCTGATAAAGTGTTAATATCCAGAATGTATAAAGGGCTCAAGAAACTCAACAACAACAAAACAAACAATGCAATTAAGAATGGGAAACAGACTTGAACAGACATTCTTCAAGGAAGGAAATGCAAATGACCAACAGACACATGTGCTCAGGATCACTAGCCATTAGGGAAATGCAAAACGAAACCACAATGAAGTTTCACCTCACCACAGTTAGAATGGTTTGCATACAGAAATCAACAAACAACAAATGTTGGAAAGCATGTGGCGAAACAGTACACTAGTGGCCAGTGCCATGGTGCATGAGGTGAATCCTCCTCCTACGGTGCTGGCATCCCATATGGGCACCGGGTCTAATCCCAGTTGCTCCTCTTCCAGTCCAGCTCTCTGCTGTGGCCCGGGAGTGCAGTGGAGGCTGGCCCAAGTCCTTGGGCCCTGCAACCACATAGGAGACCAGGAGGAAGCACCTGGCTCCTGGTTTCAGATTGGTGCAGCACGCGGGCCACAACACACAGGCTGTAGCGGCCACTTTGGTGGTGAACCAATGGAAAAGGAAGACCTTTCTTTCTCTCTCTCTCTCTCTCTCTCTAACTCTGCCTGTCAAAAAAAAAAAAAAAAAAAAGATGGCCCAGGTCCTTAGTATTCCCGAGACCTTTGTCAAAGTTTCCTAATTAACCGTGCACCCATACCACAGTCCCTAAGAAAGACCACACTATACCCCTCACCATTTTCTTACCCTCACTTTTCCTTTTTTTTTTTTTTTTTTTTGACAGGCAGAGTAGACAGTGAGAGAGAAAGACAGAGAGAAAGGTCTTCCTTTGCCGTTGGTTCACCCTCCAATGGCCGCCACGGCCGGCGCGCTGCGGCCGGCGCACCGCGCTGATCCGATGGCAGGAGCCAGGAGCCAGGTACTTTTCCTGGTCTCCCATGGGGTGCAGGGCCCAAGCACCTGGGCCATCCTCCACTGCACTCCCGGGCCACAGCAGAGGGCTGGCCTGGAAGAGGGGCAACTGGGACAGAATCCGGCGCCCCGACCGGGACTAGAACCCGGTGTGCCGGCGCCGCTAGGCGGAGGATTAGCCTAGTGAGCCGCGGCGCCGGCCACCCTCACTTTTCCTACGGTTGTTGCTCAGGCCCTGTCCCAGGTCTAACACTTGGAGACTCCACCAGTTCTACTAGTAGACCTACAAGCTCCTCCCTATTACAACTCTACTGAAAGTCACCTGACCTCCTCCATACACTCCTTCCATTTCCCTGTCTATATCACAGAGTGGCAATATACAGAAATTACCAGATTTCAGCTCCCAACACCTTGCATGCCCCAGGCATCTAACAATCCAATCACCACCACGCTAAATACCTCCATCCCATCATTCTTAGGCCTGGAATCTAAAACCCAAACTTTTATTAACACATCTCTCCAAACCAGACTTCCTGGGTTTTGTACTCTGACTCAACAGCACACACTTGTCCTCCAGGTCTCCCTCCCATTTCCTGGATACCCAAGTATTCCCCTATTACCATGTTCTTTGGCCCCTAATGCTCTGCAGAGCCTGGGGGAACTCATTCCCCAACATCCTACCAACCCCTGTTTCCATGCTCTCACACTCTATTGAAGCCCACCAGGCCCCTACATTTCTCCCCATGCCTGTGGGGCTACCCACATGACCCTCCCTGCCATGGGAATGAAGTCCACATCTCTGTCTGCATGGGCCACCCAACTCCAGGGAACAGGCTGTCCCTTCCCTTCCCCTCGGGCACCCAGGCTACAGTCACCACTGGGGCAGCCACATCTGCTCACCTGTTGCTCCTCTCCAGGATGAAGCCCCACCTGGCATTGAGCAGGAAGCTGTGCAGTCTCTCCGGGAATGGGAGATTACTTGGCAGCTGAGCTTCAGCGTCCACTCTGGGTTAGTTTCACATCCAGGTCCTCTGGGAGGGAGGAGGGGAGGCAGACATCTGCTTCTCGGCTTCCTCACGGCTGAGCCGCTGCCCACCCCCGCTGCTCTGAACCTGCGGATTTCGGGGGAGAACGCTGCTGGGAAGTCACGGGATCGCATCTCCTTTGAGGCAGCCCCTGGGCATCTCTGTCCTGTTAGCTTAAATGTGCAAGTGCCATCCAACTATCACCTCCCCCTTCTTCCCAGGAAACACAGTGTCAGTGGAGGCCAAGCTACCTTGATGAACCAGGGGAAGCAGCCTTAGCTCTAAAATGGCACTGCGGCCCTGTGCTCATAATGATCAGGAACGCTCCAGGAACATCATCAATCCAGATCCAGCCGATTAGAAGAGCTCAGGGCAGTGGGGAGCTCTCTAGACCTCCGAGATAACACAGAGCCACTCCTGTTGGTGCAGCACTCTGCCAAACTACCCATGGTCAGGGTACTGAATGGAGGATACCTGCCCAGCATCCTTGGCCTGGTTGGTGGCCGGGGCTGCTGCCCGGAGTCAGACAAGCAGGGCTGGTGCTGTGTTACACCGCGTTAAAGCCACGGCATTCAGTGCTGTCTTTCCATGTCGGTGCCAGTGTGTGTTCTGGCTGCTCCACTTCTAATCCTAACATGCCTGGGGAAGTGGTGGAGGATGTCCCAATTCCTTGGGCCCCTGAAGCCACATGGGAGACCCAGAAGAAGGTCCTGGATCCTGACTTCATATTGGCTCAGTTTGGCCATCATGGTCATTCCGGAAGTGTACTGGCAAATGCAAGACCTCTCTCGCTCTCATACTCTCTCACTCTCTCAATCTCGTTCACCTGCACTTGCTCTTTTTCTCTCTCTTTAATTCTTTTATTTTATTGATTTTTTTTTACAGGCAGAGTTAGACAGTGAGAGGGAGAGACAGAGACAAAGTTTTCCTTCTGTTGGTTCACCTCCCAAATGGCCACTATGGCCAGCACTACACTGATGCAAAGCCAGGAGCCAGGTGCTGTCTCCTGGTCTCCCACGCAGGTGCAGGCGTCCAAGCACTTGCACCATCCTCCAGTGCCCTCCAGGGCCACAGCAGAGAGCTGGACTGGAAGAGGAGCAGCTGGGACTAGAACATGGTGCCCATATGGGATTCTGGCCCTGCAGGTGGAGGATTGGCAAGTGAGCCACGGCGCTGGCCTTCTCTCTCTTTAATTCTTAGAAACAAATGAAATAAATGTTTTTATTAAAAAAGCCCCATTATCATCTCATTAGATAGAGAAATAACCTGAAAAGATTCAATTCCATTCATGATAAAAAAAAAAAAACTCCACAAAGTAGGTATAAAAGGAACAGGCATCAAAATCTTGAAGGCTATGTATCACAAATCAACAGCCAATGTCATGCTGGATGGGCAAAAAGTGAAAGCATTTTTGTCAAACATGTAACAACACAAGTATGTCAAAACTCTTATTGAATGCAATACTGTAAATTTTCACAGGTTAAAGAAAAGAGAAGAAAGAATGAAATGCACCAACATTATAAAAGAGAAAGTGAAATTGTAAATCCTTACAGGTAACATGATACAGTACCAGAAAAAAACTAAAATAATCCACCAAAAACACTGCTAGAACTAGTGAAACAATTCAGCGAACTTTCAGGTTACAAATAAACATAGTGTATAAGGAGCAGTTTTTATACATTTTTATACATTAATGATGAACTCACTGACAAAGAAATCAACAAATATCCCAGGGACAATAACCACATAAATAAAAAGTTTAGGAAAAAATTTAACCAAAGAAGTCAAAGAGCTCTAAATGAAAATCACCATACACTGATGAAAGAAATCACCAAGGACACAAAAGTGGAAAGATGTCTCTTTTGGTGGATTTGAAGAATCAATATAATTAAAATCTCTACGTAACACTACCTAAAGATTCAATTAAATTTTCATCTAAATGCCAATGATGTTCTTTACAGAATTACATAAATAAACCTAAAATTCATACAAAATCAGACACGATCCAGAATAGATAAGGTGTTCCTGAGCAAAAAATGGAACAAAGTTAGCCCGGATGCCTCACAATACCGGATTCAAAGTATTCTACAAATCTACACTAAACAAATATCAAAGCACTTGCATAAAAAGTGACACACTGACCAATGGAAGAAAACAAGGTGAGCTCCAATATTAATGCAAATATATACAACACCAGATTTTTACAAAATTACTCAGACCATCCATTAGGGTAAGGAAAAACTCTTCAACAAATGCTGTTGGCAAAAAATGGATGTATTTGTAGAGAAGATTGGAATTAGATTCATGACTACCACAAAATATGAAAATCAACTCAGAATGGATGAGAGACCTAAATCTATAACCCGGGGCTATGAAGCTTTTTGAAGGAAATAGAAAGAAAAGCTCCAAGACACTGGAATAGGGGATGACTCTTAGACAAGACCTTCAAAGCCAAGGCAGCAAAATCAAAACCTAACAAATGGGATCAAATGAAATTAAAAGCTTTGCAAAGCAAAGAAAATCATCACAGAGTGAAGAGACATCCAAGAGAATGAGCAAAAGATACTTGTCAGCTACCTATACAAAAAGGATTAATAACATGAATACACCTGCAACTCAAAAAGAAACCTATAAAAACACAACCAATCCAGTTATGAAATGGCCAAAGGAACTCAACAGACAGTTCCCCGTAGATACACAGATGGCCAACAAATATAGGAAAAAATGCTCAACATCACAAGCTATCAGGGAAACGCAAATCCAAACCACAATGAGATATCAGCTCACACGTACATACTGGCTAAAACCCAAAGGACAGAGAGTCACAACGAGGAGGAGGATGTGGGAAAAGGAGAACACTTACACAGTGGTGGTGGGAATGCAAATTAGTGCAGTCGCTGTGGAAAACAGTATGGAGATTTCTTAAAAAACCAGAAACAGACTTTCCATATGATTGAGCAAGCCCTCTACTGGCTATAACCCAGAATGCGTAAACATATTGTATCAGAGAGATATGCCCACAATATTTATTGTAGTATGGTTCATGGCAGCCACAATAAAAAATCGTCAAAGACTTCAAACAGCAGTTGAATGGATGATAATAATAATAATATATACACACAAAGAAACAAACTTACAAATCTCTCTTTCTACAAGATTTTTAAAGGACCCACATGATGCTCTCTGCATTACTTTAAAAAACCAGAACAAATGTGGGCACATCACAGACACTCCTTTGAAAGCCAAGAAAAACACATTTACCAAGAGAAAGTCCTCTGCCAGAATTCTGACTTCAACAAGCTGACTTCAGCCACAAACATCATTCCCAGGCTAAATCAGGTTCTCCAGGTTCCTAAGCCCCCTATCAACCCACTTTTCTTTCAGATAACATCTTCCCCATCTCATGGTAGTCTGGAGACTTTGGTTGAATTTCCTGATTAACTCAGCACCCATTCCCCAGTCCCTCCTGAAAGGACCCTCTGCCTGCCTCCTGATATCTTTTCCCTCACTTTAACTAAGGTTGCTCCCCAGGCCCTGTCCCGAATCTCACACTCTGATGCTCCACTAGTTCTTTTTTTTTTTTTTTGACAGGCAGAATGGACAGTGAGAGAGAGAGACAGAGAGAAAGGTCTTCCTTTGCCGTTGGTTCACCCTCCAATGGCCCCTGTGGCCTGCGCGCTGTGGCCGGCACACTGCACTGGTCCGATGGCAGGAGCCAGGTACTTCTCCTGGTCTCCCATGGGGTGCAGGGCCCAAGTACTTGGGCCATCCTCCACTGCACTCCCTGGCCACAGCAGAGAGATGGCCTGGAAGAGGGGCAACCGGGACCGAATCCGGCGCCCCGACCAGGACTAGAACCCGGTGTGCTGGAGCCACAAGGCGGAGGATTAGCCTAGTGAGCCGCAGCGCCGGCCCGCTCCACTAGTTCTTACAAGTAGACACTAGTTCTTACAAGTTCTCTCTCTCACTCTCTCCACACACACACACACACACACACACATACACACACAAATGAAAATACCTTAAAATTCCTCTTTCCACAAACTTTTTCAAGGACTCTCTTGATGCTCTCTGCTTTATCTTAAAAAACCAGAACAAATGTGGGCACATCACAGACACTCCTTTGAAAGCCAAGAAAAGCATGTTTACAAAAAGAAAAGTCCTCTGCCAGAATTCTGACTTCTACAAACTGACTACAAGCCACAAACTTCATTCCCAGACAAAGACAGGGTCTCCATGTTCCCAAGCCCCCTACCAACCCACTTTTCTTTCAGATAACATCTTCTCCATCTCTTGGTAGTCTGTAGACTTTGGTCGAATTTCCTGATTAACTCAGCACACATTCTTCCAGTCCCTCCTGGAAGTTCTCTCTGCCCACCTCCTGATATCTGTTCCCTCACTTTTCCTAAGGTTGCTCCCCAGGCCCTGTCCTGGATCTCACACTCTGATACTCCACTAGTTCTTACAAGCAGATCTACCAGCTCCTCCCTATTACAACTCTCCTCATAGTGGCCTGCCTTCCTCCCCACAATCCTTCTATTTTCCCTTTCTATCATAGGATGGTGACATACAGAAATAACCTGTTTTCAGCTCCCCAAACCTTGCATGCCCCAGGTTCTTCCATTTGCATCTAACCCTCTACTGCCGCTGCATGAAGTACTTGCAATCCAATCGTCCTTAGCCTGAAACTCTAAAACATAACAACTATTACCACGTCTCCCCAAAGCAGACTTCTTACGTTTTGTACTCTGAGTACATACATGCAGTTTTCCTCCCAGGTCTCCCTCCCACTGCCTGGAGACACAGTCTTCCCATATTAACATGTTCTTTGGCCCCTAATTCTCGGCAGAGCCCAAGAGAACTCATTCACCAATATCTTGTTGACCTCTGTCTCTGTGGCCAACACTCTATTCTAGGAACACTAGACCCCCACATTTCTGTCTCCATATGTCTATAGGGAACCCCAACTTGACCCTCCTTCCAAAAGCTTGGAAGTCCACCTTGATCTCAGCCTGGCCAGCCCAACCGCAGGGAACAGGGTTCCCTTCCCTTCCCTTCCCTTCCCTTCCCCTTGGGCCCAAGGGCTGCCATCAACAGGACACAGCCACATGTACTACTAATCAGTAGCTCCTGTCCAGGGTGAAGGCCCAGCTAGGTTTTACCAGGAAGCCAAGCAGGATC